GTATTGCGGGGTCAAATGGTATCTCTATTTGCAACTTTTTGAGAAAGCGGAGAGGCAAGGTTTTGTTGCTATCATTTTGTTGCATACTTTTTGGTGTTGTTTCTAGGTACTGTGGTCCATCCTGCTTTCTGGGGTACCTCTGTAAGAAGGACGTATCTCAGTGTTTCCTGCCACACTGGTCTTGTTTTTACAAACTCCTTTAGGTTCTGTTTTTCTGGGAATATCTTGCTCTCTCCTTCATATTTGAGGGACAATTTTGCACAACATTTATATAGTATTCTTGGTTGACACTGGTGTTCTTTGAGTGTTTGATATATGTCATTCTACTGTATCCTTGTTCACATGGTTTCTGCTGAGAAATCAGTACTTAATCTTATTTGCTCTCCCTTATAGGTTACTCTTTGTTTCTTGCCTTATCTTTGGTACTGGCACATTTGACTGTGATACATTTTGGTGTTTTTACTTTTGGGGTCTGTTCTATATGGTATTCGCTCAGCTTCTTGAATATATATTCTCTCATTTTTCATTATGTCTGGGAAGTTTCCTTCTAGCAATTCTTCTTCAACTTTTTCAGTGCCTTTAGTTGCTTCTTCCTGTTCTGGGATTCTGATTATTTGCATGTTATTTCGCTTGATGGTATCTCACATTATGCTTAGGTTTTCTTCTTTTTCCTTCCTTTTTGACTCTGCTTTTTTGGTCTAGCAGATTAGTGCTGACAATTATATCTTCTACTTCACTGATTCTGTATTCCATCTCTTCAACTCTTTTCATATGTCCCTCCCTCATTTTGACAGCATTTGAAACATACGACCTTATATTTTGGATTGGATTGTGGTTTCTTGTTTTTCCAGAGCCTCTACTGCCTTGTTTATTTTATCTGCATTATTTTGGATTGTTTTTATGCACCTCCAGGTTTTTGTTTGCAGTGTCCTGTAATTCTTCAGGTTTGTCTTTTACCCATTAAAAATATTCAATCATTGTTCTTTTGAATTCTGTGTTAGAAAGTTCCATCAGACTTTCTGGCTTCAGGAAATCCATTGATCCTATGTAATTTTTTGGGAGTGACATCTTGCTTTGTGCTTGTGTTGGGTGTAAGAAAGCTTGCTTTTAATGTGACATTGGTAGAGGTTTTCATGCCTGAGTTGATAGCAGGTTCTTGATTTGATGTCACTGTTCCAGAAGAGGGTGGGGCAGCCACCCTGCTTGTGTTCTCTCTGCACTTCTAACACAAGACAAGATTTGTTTCAGTTCAGAGCTTGTGAAAGCAGCCTCTTCAGTCAGACATTTGTTGTAGCTAGGCCAGTCCAAGGCCCTCCAGACTAAAGGCAATTCGTTAACTGGACAGAAGGAAATGCAAGGTGGAGTGTGGAGACCAAGTTCACGGGGTGGATGCATGCTTGCAATGGGTGCACGCACACAGATGCTCCCCGGGTGGGTGCAGATATTTGTTGGGTGAACACACACAGGGACCTCAGTCAAATTCCAGCTGTCTAGCTCACTCCCGGGGGCTTGCTCCCAGTCTGGCGTCTCTCCCCATGAGTTGATTTTTGACAACTTGCTTTGCAGGGTATTAGTTCACATCGTCCACTTGGTTATGCATTCATTTATATGTACCAGTAAGTTTTTCAGTTGTTTTTATTTTTGCTTGCTTGTTTTTAGTTTCTGACAATTGCCATCCTACACTTCTATTAAGATAATACTAACTAGCATTGATTGTATGTTTATGATGACCAAACTGCATACCAAATGCATTCCAGTTGTCATTTCTGTTCATTTTCACAACAGCATGAGTGGGAGTTATTACTTCCATCACTTTACAAATAGGAATAATTCACTTGGTTCAATGTTTCAACTTCTTCTGTTTATTAGATTTCCTGAGCTTGGGAATCCTTTCTATATCATAGTTAATACTGTTGTCACTGGTTGAAACACCAGACTGGTCAGGATTATTGCCATCTTGGTGATCTATGATTCTTGAGTTGGTCATTATCAAGCATTGTTATGGAAAATAATAGAGCAACATAAATGAATCCTTTTCTAGACAAATTGTATTAGAAATGTGTGTTTCTTTGATTACTGCTGCACTGTGCATGAATAATACAGATTCATAAACTTAACTACACAATTTAAAATGTACAATAAAAGCATCCTTCTCAATTAATGATGTCACTTTATTTGAAATTGAACATAAAAGTCTTTATGGCCATTAGAAATGGATGAAGCTTGGATCTGCTGTGTCTTACTGAGGTAAAGACAAATTTTTGAGATGGAAAATTACATACCATAGTCTGAAGGGAGCTGTGTGGCTCATCCAAAAAGCCCAGTCTCTCTGCTGATTCACATTCACCTACAGGAGAAAGAAAGATGATCTTTGTGACTTACAGTCGCAGAAAATCAAATGGATAGTCAGTTATGAATGGGTTCTTCAACCACCTTGAGTGATTGTTTTTTTAAATCGCTTTAGCTAATTTTTATTTTCCTGCAAAGTAATTGCACATAATGTCACCTTTCTATTCAAGAATGTTTGTTTTTGTTTTGCTAGTCTTGCTACATTGAAAGATCATTTACTACTTATTTACTATTTACATAGAATACTCTATTTGCTGTAATTTCTAATAAGGCATTGTATCTGAATGTATATTATAACAAAAACACTAGATATTTGGGCTAACAAAACATTAAGGATAATAAACAGAACCTTGATGAAGATGTACTGTTTTCTCCTCCTGCAGGAAGTACTCCTTTTTACATGATCTCCTCCAGGATGATGAGTTCAAATCCCGAGGAGGACCCTTTGGATGAATTTCTTCAGTACATTGAGGATATGGGAATGAAAGCCTATGATGGCTTGGTTATTCAGAACGCATCTGACATTGCTCGAGAAAATGATCGCTTGAGAAATGAAACAAACCTGGCCTACTTGAAGGAGAAGAATGAGAAACGCCGAAGACAAGAAGAAGCAATAAAACGGTAAGTATGGAGGAGAGCATCCCAAGTTGTGCATGTTGCAGTCTGAGGAACTCTGTGGGTGCCAGTAGACTATGTCACCTGGTCAGGGAGGAGCTTGTTGAAGTTAGGTAAACTGATGGTAAAATGGAATGACGGGTTTCTCTTCTGAACTGACAAATTAGATATCTCTGTGTTATGCACATAAAAATAGAGAGTGGCTGTGTAGCAACCTCTTGATCAAAGTGGGAGAAAACACACACACACACACACACACACACACACACACACACACACACACACTCTTTAAAGCTGAAAGTTTGAGGAAAAACTCCAACTCTGATAATCTTCATCTAGAGGTCTTGCCTTATAATAGAGTTTATCTCCTTCCGAGTGTGTGATCAATATCCATCAGAAATAAGAACTGTGTGAGTCTCCAAAGGTGGGTGGAATCTTCATTGTGTGCTTTCTGTACAGAATTTTATGGCTATTGTATTCTTGTCTGGTACCAAATGTTCCAGGTTTTTTTCAAAGGAAATGATTTTTGTGTTGGAAAATGTATGAGAAACAAGCAAATAATGCCAAGAATTATCATCTTCCAAATTGAGGCAAAGTTTCTTAGGGTACTAAGTGAGAAGAAAAAAAAATTATACATATATTTTAATTTTTTTAAAGCATGCTTGCGTTTTGTTCTAGTGATTACAGGCACGCATGCGTGTGCCTGCATTTGTGTGTATGTTTGTTAGTGATAGAAGTAGACGTGATATGCATATTGTGCTTAACTGGGTCCATTTTCTTTAGTGGAATCCATTTGATAAGTGCAAATATTGAGGATTTAGAAAAGCAATTAACAAATAGTTGTTGTTGTTGATTGCTTTCAAGTTGAAAATGACTCATAGCAACATTATGAATAAAAGGCTTGAAGCCTCTACAACTATTAACATTTATCAAAGTTCATACGGTTTCTGGAGGTACGTTATTATTAACTGAAAACAATTAGTTATAGTATTTTGATGGTCAGCCAATAATTTATCACCTAATCTGACAAAAATAATACTTTTACTTTTTGCCCGTTCTCTGTGTTTATCATGGAATTTGAGAAAAGAAGATATTCTTTTAAGATGAGCTATTAATTCTTATAAAGTAGCTAGTTAGGGGCACAGTCCTCTAATTGTTTAAGTGCAAATAAATTGCTAATGAAAGGGGAATTATGGTACAGTAGTTAAAGCACTCAGCTGCTAACCAGATGAAATGACATCTTACTAGCCACTCCACACAGGAAAGTTGGGAATGTCTTTTTCCTTAAACATTACAGCCTTAGGAGCCCAAGTGGGCAGTTCTGTTGTCTATCCAACAAGGTTACTATGAGTTAGAATCAATTGAATGATACTGACTTGTTGTTACTTTATATTTAAGGTCACTACACTTAAAAATATTCTTTAATGCAAACTATTAAAATGTAAATCTATTTAAATATTGGAGTTTCCAGAGGCATGTTGTTTAGGAAGTGGATGCTACTTCTGCTTCCAAAAATAACACAGACTTGGTAAAGATTTTCACAATTCCAAGTAGTTTTTTTAAAAGGTTACTTTGTTTGGAATTATTCACTTTTTAAATCTAGCAAATATTAATTCATATCAAAGGTACTTTTCCTCAATATACTAAATAAGCTTTCTTGGAACCATTATAAGCTTTCTTGGGACCATTTTCTGTGTATTCCTCCCAATGGACTTTTAAGGGTTCATGAACATTTTACTTAACTTTTGTGAATCTGATTTTCTGGATTTTAGAATAAAAATTATAGCCTAAAGATTTCTAAAGCAACTTAAATTTTATTATTGTAAACTTTCCATTATTACTGTAAACTTGTTATTATTGTAAATCTTGGCAGTAAAATCCCAAGATTCCTTTTCCACCATAAAGAGATATACAGAATTATTTGTTGAGTCAATAGGTTATATTTTCAGAGCATCTACAAAGTGCTTATAATTATACTATTAGTTCCTGTGTTTCCAAGACAACCTTCCAAGGTTATCTATGTGAATATCACAGAGAGAATGGAGACAACAATAGCTAATGTTTAGATGATGCTGCCCAATGCTCAAAGAAGCATAGAAATCAATGACAAGGATAGTGAAAGTCAAAACTCACACCCACCGGTATAGGCATTAAGGTTTACAGTATATTTTTGTGTTACACAACTCAGTCCATTACAGGTACCATTGGAATTTGCTAAGAAGTAAGCTGTAAAACCAAAATGAAACTCACTGCCATTGAATTGATTCCAACTCATCACAAACCACCATAGGGTTTCTGAGGCTCCAAATCTTAACAAGAGAAACCTGTCTGCCTTTCTCCCTCAGAGCAGCTGGACATCGTCATTTCATCAACAGTGCGACATGTAACACAATGCTAGAGCGCATAGAGAAGACGCAACAGTAAGACAAAAGAAAGGAAGCAAAGATGTCTTTTGTTGTTTGTCATTGTTTTGGTTATTTTGGTCTTTATTTCTTCTAAACAACAGAAAGGGTGATGTTTTTGTATAATACACTGGCAAAAACTAGAAAAGTATAAAGTCTATAGTTAGGAGTAAGTGGTAGATGATCACTTTGGAACACCAATTATGCATGAGCTTTTTACATATGCAAGCAAAGATACTGAGTAGACAGATAGATAAAGAATTTGAAACTAATGGTAGATCCCAATGTAGAATTTATAAATATGGTAGACATATGTCTGTTGCCTTTGAGTTGTGGTGCTGGAGAAGAATATTGAACGTACCATGGACTGCCAAGAGAAGCTTGAGAGTTGAGTAGTGGCCTTTGACACACTGCTATTGTCTACAGGGGTGGTGGGGAGGGGGAATCAGTAAAGAGCTAGAAACAAAACCCAATGAGATTATTATATTTATGAAAGAATTGGGAGGTCAGATTTGTCATAAGAGACTGAAAAGTGTTCAAAAACACTGGGGATTAAAAATTAGATAAAATAAGGAGGCAGTAGAGACTATTTATCTCTTTAAAAAAAATACTATAAATGGAGCCATGAGTGAACAAAAGGAAGAAGGAAAACATCAGTAACTTAGGAGAGGGAAGAAAATGTTACTGTAAGAATATCTTTAAGTGATTGGGAAGGAATGGGAGCTAAGGTGTCTTTGAAATGCAGCCTACTCTTTGATTTTAAATAAAGGAATGCCCCAGGGGATGAATGAATGAATGAACGACTAGGAACTGGTGTGAAAAGCTCCAAACCTACTTCTCCAAAATTAATAGCATAGAAGGAAATCAGGAGGCATATTCTTGCGTGAAAAATTATACGGAATATAAAACAGCTGAGACTCACCAGTAGGCAAAAAGACAGAAGGAGAAGAATTCTCGAACAGTCTTTTTCCTCTGTTCTTTCAACTACTGAAGTGCAATTATGGGTGTGAATATAATGAAGAGCTGGAGTCTGAGGCTTCCAGGTCCATTGGCAAATAGAATGTCAGGAAGAGAGACAAGAATAGAAGCCAGACTGGATGCCTGGACTGACGGAAGAGCGTGAAGCGAGTACCACTTCTGTAGACACTGTCCCAAGGAGAGGCCTGTGTGACTGTAGTATGCATGACTGGACGCTCGAGCACACTGATTAAAGTCCAGTCAATTATTCTCCAAACCCCATCTTAATAATTGTACCTATAATTCCATGTGGAGAATTGAAAGTATATGACTTTCTATATAAACTCTTCATTCTTTCACTTATTATTTCCTTTAGATTGTTCTCTCATATTTCTAGAATCCTTATTTAAAGTGCAAATACACTTAGCAGGGCAAATCATTGGTGAGATCTCCTACACTGAGATAAGACTTCAGAGATGTCTCGCTTTCTGAGAGGAGGCTGTGGGTGCAGAATGAGAATGTAGAGGTAGGTGTCTGGACATTTTCAGGAGGGCGGCTGGGGAGACAAAGATGCGAGGAGCAATATAAGGGACAATTTAGCGCACAGACAGGGCGAGGACCACTCGCACCTCTGTGACTGGGCTGCATATGGAACTCTTATTAGTTATCACTTCTTAATTTTCACTGCAAAATCCAAATTCAATTTCCGTTTTTGTTCATTTCATATGGTTGACAATAACCTAGGATTCTAGGGGAAAGCTAATCTTGTCTTGTTTTCTCTCTATTTTTTTGGGATTGCTTCAATTTTGTGATAGAAAAATGCATTTTTAATATTTTGCCAAAAATCTATAACAAGATTCTGCTCACAAAGACATTTTAGTGTGCCAGAGATTTTGACAGGAGCAGAATACCCACATTGAAATTTAAAACACTTTAATATCATCATTTTAATATGTAATTTATATTGAGCTGAAGAGAAAAATCAACATGGCATTAATTAACACAGGCTAATCAATTGAAAGAATTTAACATGTCTGTTGGATGGCTTCTTAAATATCCTATGATTTTAATACATGGAATGTAAATGTTGAAAATTTCGCATTCTAAAAATGGGGCTTGTTTGACCTTGAAAAGGCATTGATGATAATTCTGTGTGAAATATGCCAGTTGCAATTTCAGAAATGTACAGACTGCCAAGGATTGCTTAAAAAATGGAAATAGGATTTCATGTGATTGACCTTCTGGATCACATATGTGCTGAAATGCCTTATGTGCTACAGCTGGGAAGCCTAACACACTGAGCTCTTAGGAAACGATCCCCACTGTCCCTTCAGTGTTCTAAGTCACTTAGCTTTTTTAAATGTAATTTAATTCTTTTAAAAAAATTTTATTATTCTTGATTTTAATGAAAATTTACACAGACTTTGGATTTCCATTCATTCACTGTCACTTTTTAAAAATCCAACTCCTAAAAAAAAAATTAAAACTCCAACTCCTTATTTTTCCACTGGTTTGAGCCCCTTGTCATTATTAACTGTTGCACACCTTGGCTTTCATTTTTCCGTTGGCATTTTGCTACAGAGACCTGTGGAGAGAAAAAACTTCTAAATAAATAAAAAGTGATCTCAATGTTTTCTTAACAGCCTC